TGGACATGGCCTTGTGTATGTGAGATAAGACTCCTAATAACTGCTTGGACCAATCTATGCAGTTTGGCTGAGAGGAAACCACTGCCTTAAAGTCACCACCAGCTGGCTTCAGGCCTAAGGCAGGACCTGAACCCATGGTCTTCCTGTTCCTAGCTCAGGGCTTTCTGTGCTGTGGCCTTAACCACTATACCAAATGGTTCTCACTCTTACGAGCAAATAGGCACCCTTACAGCAGAAACAGGTATGGCCCAAATCAGTTTCTATCCGTTGTTTAAAATAAAGGAATTGAGATCACTCAGAAGAAGAGGAATACATGTTTAGCTGGGATCAGACTCCAAATAAGACAAAAACGTATTTCATTTACTTAGAAGAATATCACTGAACTCCCGGGGCTTATTTCTTGATTGACATTGAATGAAACTATAAATATACTCCCTTTAACATCTGTGTTGATTATCTTGGGAATATGTAAATGTATTTAACTCTAGCTCATAATTTGTCAAAAGGCAGGGGATTAGTTAGCTAAAACTCCTTTAATTAGCTGATAGCACTCTTAAATGCAGTCTGCCGTATATGTAGAATGTTCAAATTAATTCTTGTTCATCAAGTTACCCTTTTTTTATAAATTGTTTTTAATTTAAGACAACAACAAAAAAGGCAATAGGAATGCAAGGCTAAGATAGCTAAATGCATAGAGTTGCTCCACCATCATTCTTGATTAATTTACAGGGTGATACATTTCCCCAAGCAAATGTATACTATCTTCAACAATTTATTTGCTTTAAAAATTATTTTCTTCATAACTCTGCGTGATTTCACTTAAAATAGATGGAGTACTATGGTCAATGCAGAGTTCAGCTTTCCCTATCTGGCTCCTTCCAGATTGTATTGTAAATTCATTCCCCAGAATTTCCAGCCTACAGGGCAAAAGGCTGGGTACTCTAGAATTGCAATCCCGACACATCTGGAGAACACCAAAGAGAAGAAAGGAAAATGTAGTGACTAGAGTTGCCTTGGGGCCACTTTCACGAAAAATACTTTCGGGAAGGTGTGAGCAACGAACATGAATCACTTCTGTGTGCAAAACCTTTTAATCAAATGGCTTATTATTCCGAAAAGAACCACTCGTTCTTTTTTTTCCTCCCCCACTATGTGAGGCATGTGAAAATAAGCTTATTGTTAAGTTGGTTTGCATGAGAAATGGGGTTTTCCAAACCAAGTGTTATAGTTGATTTATATCCTGCATTTTTACAAGATGGCAAACATATCCAACACATTTACTTTGTCCTATTGTCCCCACAACAACGTGTTATGTGAGGTGAGTTGGGCTGAGAGACAGTGACCGGCCCAAAGTGACCGGCCTAAAGCAGAACTTGAACTTATGGTCTTCCACTTTCTAGCCTGCTATCCTAACCACTAGACCACCCACTTCCTCTCATAGTTTTGTGAAAGTTCTGGTTTTGAAGTAAACCCCTCTGGGAAGTGGCTGGATTTACCAATTGGGATAAGCCTTGTATGGCTTGTATTGACTTGTATGGCTTTATCTTGGTGTCTTGCATGAACCTGACTATTGTGGTTAATAAATCATGGTTTACAGTTTATTGTATTGTACAAATCTGTCCAGTGATTTATTGTCTGTCCTTTGAGGTAGACCAAGCTAGGGAAAACTATTATAAATACTAATCTTGTTCCTGGTCCTCAAGGTTATTCTTACATCCTATTCAACATGCTGTGGTTTAATGAATTCAGGCAATTATTTATTTGCAGCAGCAATTTGAGCAAAACTTTTAAAAAGGTGAAATGAGATGCCTTTGTCTGTCTTGTGTATCTTAGCAGACCAGGTATACATTCCTCATGATTTTTCACAGTTTGCAATTCTTTGAAACACTGAAGCCACAAAATGAATAGCTGTACTTTGCCTTGTACTAGCGGAGCCAAGAAGTGAAACATTTTGCGACAAGCATCTGTGAAGATTTCTAAGAATAAGACTCACTATATAGTTCGTCTGCTTTTCTCTGAAATCCTGCTTGGCTGACAAACTCGGTACAGATGGTGCCAGAAGGCCCCTTATGCCAAAAAGAAAAGGGATGAAGGCAAGGCATATTTTGTCTACGAATGGAGATAGCCGGCTTTTTAAAAAATAGGTGTGGGCTAACATTACTACCTATTAGGATGAGGAGACTTAAGGTGCTTTGCAGTGGATCCCTGCCAAAACCTAACTTGGATGCTCACATTTCCTTGATATGGAAACCTAAGGTAGTGTTGCTGCTTTCATGGTCTCAAGTAAAGCAAGAAAGAGTGGAATAGCACTGGAGATCCCTGGCTTTCTTTAGCTTGGTTATTTCCTTATCAGTTGAAGCTGTTTTAGGAGAGAACTGGAATTCAAGAACAAGAAGCTAAACTTAAAGGCACTTGGGACTCCTAAATGTATTGATTTTAGTTTTCTCTATATCAGCGGTCGCCAACAGGTGGGCCGTGAGAAAATTTTGGTGGGCTGCAGAGAAATCTCACCCCCAGAGCACCCCCCCCAAAGCAATTAATCCAGGCTGCGCGGAAACATAAGGCTGCTCAGCCCACGTGGGCGGCAGGAACCCTCCCCGCCCACTCACTCCTTACCCAGCAAACTTGTCTGCTAAGTTGCTATTTTTCCTTTTTCCGACCATCATCTGTTCTGCTCTGCCAGGATATTTAGATTAGCTAGAAAGCAGGAAATGGTTGGATTTCTTGCTTTCTAGCTAAGCACAGCCGAACCTCCCTTAGGACTGAAGGTTTGCATGCAAGCAAATTCAGTGCAGACTCACGGCAAGCAAATTTGAGAGACTGAGCTAGCCGATGGCAGATAGATAGATCACTGAATGATTCTGTGAGCAACTCAATCTGCCTGCTTTGCCTGATTTTGGATAAAAGTTGCTCTTTTTAAAAAATAAAAAATTCAATATTTACATGCATGGTGTGTTTTGAGTTAATTTTGTGAGTTTGCTTGCTAGCAAATTTTATGTGACAGACTGAGCAAATAGATAGATTTCTGAATGAATCTGTGATTCTGTGAGCAACTCAATCTGCCTGCCTGCTTTGCCTGCTTTGGGGTAAAAGTTGCTCTTTTTCAATAAACATTTAATATTTATATAAATATTTATAATATTTACATACAATCCATGCCCAGCCAGTCACATGACCACCAAGCCACACCCACAAATTAGGCCATGCCCACAGAACCACTTAGTGGTCCCTGGGATGTAAAATTAATGAGTTTGGTGGTCCCTGAGGTCCAAAAGGTTGGTGATCCCTGCTCTATATGGTATCTTGAAAATTAGCAGAGAGCTACCTTTGATGGAATATGAATACTAAAACATTGAAAAGCAGTCTTTTAGATATTAAGAATGCTCTGCTGAATTGGCAGGAAAAACATAATACATAAAGCATTCGCTTACAAAAATTAGCTCCTGGGTAAAGGATTAGACAATCTAAACAATTCATTTATATTAACATTTCTGATTTGGTGGCTCAGAATGATTGGAGGAGAATCTGAAGCCTCATGAAGAATTCATTAGATAGCTAATACATTTATAATAATACATTAATAATAAGCTGGGTAGCTAATAACAACATAAAAACAGCCATTTTAACCTATGATTTCAAGCAATCAGGTTTTCAGTTTTCTCCTAACTTCCCAGGAGGTTTCTGGTTTAGATTTTTTAGTATCCAAAATCCAGAATCATTTTTGTTGTGACTGGTATTTAAGAATTGTTGTTTGCACAGTTATTAAGCCGGTTGCTTTTTCAAGGTGGGTTTGGGGTAGAAGTATAGGACATTGGTAAAAGAGAGAAAATGATTGGAAAGAACAAAAATCCTATTGAATGAATGTTGAAAAGAGAAGTGTAATGGCTTAAAAAAAAATGCCAATAAAAGTGGTGTCAGAGCTTCCAAACTGTGGGGTCCTTGGTACTCTCTGAGCTTGGTTGTTTTCTTGAAAACATTTCATTCATTATCAAACTAGGTATCATCATCAGTGCTGGCTCAGAGACCACCAAGGACCCCACAGTTCAATCCTGAGCTACAAATATTTTCTTCTATCAATTTTCAAAGTGTGTTTGAAGTTTTTAAATTCCAGTAGTTCAGGCAAGGATAGTGAATGCTTCAATCTAAAACTGTGAATTCTGGATCAGAAATTAAACATTTGAAGGGCATTTCATGAGAGAAATCTAAAGATTTAACTTACAGAGCCTCTTTCACACAAACTACCAAAACAGAGTTAACTATGTTTTTAAGTAAAGCCAGATGTATTCAGGTTGTTTTGTTTATTTAACATATTCACCATAAATTTGATTATGCGACTAATTAGAACATTATACTTAAATTTTCCTTCCCCTTGTCTGTTTTCTCTGCAGAATCTTATGGCAAGAGCCCTTTATGATAATGTCCCAGAATGTGCAGAAGAATTGGCCTTCCGGAAAGGTGATATTTTGACCGTGATAGAACAAAACACTGAAGGTTTGGAAGGATGGTGGCTCTGCTCTTTACATGGCCGACAAGGCATTGTTCCCGGAAACCGTGTGAAACTTCTGGTAGGCCCTGTACAAGAGAGTCCATCTCACCAGGACTTGCCAAATTCAGGACCAGCAACTCAGTCCCCTAATCAGCAGAAAGTCTACCAAGTGCCAAATGCTCATACCTCTCCTCGGGATCCGATCTATCAAGTTCCCCCTTCTTATCTGAATCAGGGAATCTACCAGGTACCTACTGCCCACGATGTTTACCAAGTGCCTCCATCCGGGCAGAGAAGTTTTGGTGGAGTTGATGCAGGCAATAAGGTTGGTGCAAACTGATATTTCAAGCATCTGCTTCCAAAGCATTTGCATGAAACACATTACTGTGGAATTGAAAAAGTGTCTGAATTTGGTGAGCTTTTCTACACAAATGGCATTTAATGTGTCAGAAGGGAAGCATATTTATAAACAGGAGGGACGAACAGCCATTGTGGTCAAAGCACTACAGGGGTAATAGAATTAGACAATTCCTCTGAATTCTATCCTCTAAATGTATGTATTCAAATCAGAATTCAAATCAGAAACAGGAACAGTAGTTTGGACCAAAATCTGGACAGTTTGGGACTAGTCCCATACTAGCACAAATGATGCTTGACCACATACCCAAGGGACTTGTGTCTCTCTTTCATTCATGCTACAGAGTACGTGGAATTGAGTCAACCTTGATAGATTCCAAAGAATTGTAAACAAATGACCCTTAACTTTATTAAACTAATTCAACTCAAATTGTAAATTAACTAGCTGTATCCTGTTATGAAGACCTGAAATATTTAGGGGCTCCTATGTAAAGGATTAAGATTTAGAATTGTGTTGACATAAATCCACACCGATAGTACTAAGTGTGGTTCACGTTATCTGCAGCCTCCTAGAGCATATCACCTAGACACTTCGTTGGTCACACTTCCTTTATTTGTACCAAAATTATGCAAATACCAGCTTTAGATAAAAGTGCCTATTTGTTTAAAGAATTTAAGCTTCAGGCTACATGGAAAAAATGATGCAAGAGTGGCATTATTACTATGCCAGGAATAACAGGATGTCTGGATAACCATAATTAAAAGGGTAACTCAGTGTAAAATCCAGAGCAAAGAAAGTGTCACCTGGCACTCCTCTAGAGCGTTAACACGCCCTTGGCATGAGTCAAGGTAATTGCCTCTTAAAAGCTGGCGGAAAAAAATATTTATTTTTTAAATAAAACCTTTCCACTTCCTCTGATAACGAAGCTGGAAAGGCAGAATATTATCAGAATATTCTTGGGAATACTTAGGTCTTTTTATTTAGCCATTATGAATATGTTACAATGACATACAACAGCTAGGAAGTACACGCCTGGCAGTGCCAAAGTTTAATCTTAACACTGCAGTTGATAGGAGCAGAAGTTCTGATTGCCTTTTCAACTGTGAATCCTTCCAGCTCACCTTGAATCACGCACCCCATTTAATTTAGAATAACTCAAATTCCATTTTCTATTCAGCCTTTTTTGGGGTGGGGGGGTGGGGGGTGGAACCTTATCTGATATTTTGATTGTGGATTCCTCCCTCCTTCCCCCATTGCAATCGACATATTTTCTATAGACAACCAATTACTTTCTTGTTCCTTTGTTTACTGGGCAAACCATCCAGAGATACTTGATTTAATCATGGGGAAAATATTTGTGTCCATTGGGGGGAGAGGACAGAGATTCGAGGGCGGACAAGGAAATGAAAAACCCCACTGAGGCATAACCCATCTGTTCTAACCCTTGTCTTTACAAAAAATCTTTTCACAAATTACATCACTAAAAATATTGTTACCAAATTTGGGCAGCTTGTGGGTGTGGGTGATTTGGAGATTGCAGAGTAGGATTTGGGGATAGCAGATGACAGATGGCCGACTGGGTTCTATGAATTTTGAAACTGTAGTATAAATTATGTCGAAACTGATTTCATCTGCTTAACTAAATTCCAATATAAAATACCTTGATACGAAACCATTTCTTTGCCACTGCTATCTCTTCTTTCTCCTCCTCCTCCTCCTCCTCCAAAGTGCTACTCTGAAAAGGCTGACCTCACTGTGTTGGAAACTCTTTTGGACTTAAACTTTGGCAAAACTTATATTTGAGGAGTGACCGTCAAGTCAGTGGTGGCTAACCTTTTGGGGCTCCTGTGCCAAAAATTGTGCGCACACTAGCGCGCATGCACTCACATGCCAGCACCCAAATGACAATGTGCGCCCCATGTCCTCTGCGCATGCACGCGCAATTCCCCCCGCCACCAGCTTACCTGCATTGTGCCTCACAGCTGATTTTTTTGGCTGGTTTGACCTGGCTCATATTTAGCTGGTTGTCCACTAAGACTCCAAGATCCCTCTCACAGTTACTGCTATTGATCCTGGTTTCACCCAGTCTATATGTGTACTTTTGATTTTTCTTGCCTAAGTGTAGGACTTTACTTTTCTCTACATTGAATTTCATTTTATTAGATATGGCCCAGTGTTCTAGTCTGTCAAGATCCATCTGGATCTTGAGCCTATCTTCTTGGATGTTAGCTATTCCTGCCAGCTTAGTATCATCTACAAATTTGGTAAGTTCCCCTTCTATTCCCTCACCTAAGTCGTTAATGAAGATATTGAAGAGTACTGGGCCTAAGACGGAACCTTGTGGCACCCCACTGCTTACTTCCCTCCATGTAGACTTAGACCCATTAAGGACTACTCGTTGAGTACGGTTTGTCAGCCAGTTGTGAGTCGATCTAGTGGTGGTGCTATCTATTCCACTTTTTTCTAGCTTATTAAGAAGTAGGTTGTGGTCTACTTTGTCGAATGCCTTGCTGAAATCTAAATATATTATGTCCACAGTATTTTGCTGGTCTACTAATTTAGTCACTATGTTGAATTACATAGACTAAAACTGTAACCCTAAGAAATATGAGATGGAATCCCATCATATATTTCCTATTTGCAGAAAAATCTGTACATTGATGAACTCCTGGTTTCATGCCGCCGGGAGTCACTTTTTCGGGAATATTAAATATAAATTTAATAAAAATCAAATAATAAAATAAATACTTGACACCTAAAATATGAATATCATTCTTTCAACTGACAACACCTGTCCTTAGCAGATTTAATGAGCTGCTGTGCTTAAAACAGGCAATACTTGCAAGCATTCTGTGTGTCTTGGCAAAGCTGTGGAGTTAAAAATATTCCATCTCACACAATCTCAGAGAGCCTTATTAATAGCAGAGGGTCAAAATATCTGGAAGCCCGCAGCCAGCCTGCAAATGGCTTGTTCCTGTTTTTCTAGCAAGATTTTCTCGTGTAAACCACAGTTTGTCAACATCCTTTTCCAATGAGAAGGCAAGATGATAAGCTAATGAATAAATGCGACACATCTCTCCATTTACAACTTTCTTTTTAAGATGTGGATATGGCTTATTTTCACAGCCATAATTTATATAGAGGAGAAAGGAGTACATATTATTTATTCAGCATCAATGAGAGGTTTCTAGTATTGTCCTGGGTATAGCATAAGACAACAGAAGGAAACGTTAGAAAAAGAGAATATGTAAGTACGCATACACATCAAGGACAAAAAGATGACTCCTTGCATACATAATTATATTTAATCTAGTATTTGCACACACCACCCTGAAGTGACCATAACATGAGAAAATAAAGCTGTATAAACATTCGCAAATGAAAACATTTTCTCGGCATGAAAAAAATGTCACGAAAGAGCAAACTAGCATATCAGGAAATGAGTTGTACAGAAACTTGGTGCCACTTAGTCCATGTGCCTCTATCAAAATAGCAGATATCTGCAGGGACCAGTTGTTCAAAGAGATCTTTGAAAAGCTGCCTATGAAAGGGAGTGGGCACCGCGCTGCTTACAAGTGGCTAATTCCCTCTGTGGAACACAGTGTTTGCTGCTTAACAGTTTCCATTAGATAAGCACTGAGCATTATAAAACCATGCTCACACAGCAGTTATTATTGCTGGCAGGCATGGCAAGGCAGGTCAGAGAGACGTCTCCAGGCAGGTGATTAGAGTGATGCCATGACTGAGGAATGCGAAGGCCATTGCTGGATCAACTTCTCTTTTGGTGCTGAAATAAGCTCTGAAAACAAATGCTTTCAAATTGGCTGAGATCAATGATGGATGGCTTTGAATCCCTTGTTGAAAATGAGATTCTCAACCAGGATTGTTTGTCACAAAAATAAATCAAAAAGGCTGACTTGCCGCTTACATTTACAACATAGTTTGCTGCTTCTGTCTAAAAATCCATAATTCTGACTGTCTAAAAAGGCAATAATTCTTGAACAATCTTGAGGGAAAACCTGACGGCTTTTTAGGTTTTCCCACCAGCAGTGATGAGTGTTTAGATTTAACTGCTATTGTTCATTCTTTAGTTTTGTGGTGTTTTTAAAATCACTTAAATAGTTTTTCAATCTGAGAATTCCTTTTTCTTGCCTATAGCTTTCAGGACACTTCATGCAAATGGGAAATGGTGGCAAGGTTGGCGTGGGAACTGCCTGGCTTTACTATTGTCAGGAACAGCTGTGAGAATGGTATGGAAGTGCCCTCGGTCAGTCTGGTGGACCAAGGCATTCTGGGCTCTGGGCAGGAGGCTTGGAATTGTCCATCTGACATCCTGCCCATTTGATTTCTCCATCGTGGGTAATCCTATCTTGCTATAATGACCTGGGCTTAGAAGATAAGTGAACATCCCCACTTTGGGGAAACTTCATACCATCGAACAAGATGCTGCTGATCTTCTGAATGTGTGTATTCGGACACTTTCTGATTTAAATAATGATAGAACAGTTTCTAAGCACCTGCCTTGATCACATGAGTAAAATATGAAGAGAGTTGAAACCACGGTAGACTCGCCTGGATTTTTAAACTGAATTTCTATCGATTACTGAATAATCAACAGTTCTGGGTTATAAATCCTTGCCAATCTAGTATTATAAGCCTAAAGATTTATCTGACTTTTGCCCAAAGTTAAGTAGACATTCTTTATAAACAGTATAACCTTAGGCTCTCTTGACCTTCTCAATTACTTTCTGAATACCTATGGAATCTTTCTAAATATTCTTTGGATGTTGGGAACTGAACTTATGGCATTATATTATAAGGACCCTAATTCTGTGAAATTCTCTCTCGTTAGAGACCTGCCAGATCCATCACATTGCTTCTGTAGAGCAGCAGTGAAAATGTGTGTAGTGATTGAATGGTTGTGAAACTGCAAGGTAAATAAAATTCGGAATAAATCAGAAGTGATTTGAAGTTAATCTGCA